ACATCAATAAAAGAATACAGAGATTAGTCATTTAAATATATTTCCTACTGGTATTATTGCATTTTTATAAGGCTGCATATCCTTCTAACGTCTTGTAATTACAAAAACTATAATTTGATAAAAAAGCAGTTATCTTTTAACATGTTAAAGGCTTAATGGTTTCAATACTTTAACATGATCATAGCTTAAAGAATCACTCTTACAAAGAATAATTCTCCATCAAGTTGAAGTTTGTAATATAAAACGTTTTTTAGTTCAAACAAAATTTCCAAATATAAATGGTGACCAAGTCAAGAAGTAAAAAGAGGTTGGGGAAAATCCAAAACCACTTAAAGGTTTGTTTATAAATATGAAATCATGCTTTGCTATGTCTTATTATGATATTTGTTGTACACTTTACAACAAATACAAAGCTTATACAATTGTATATTCTCTATATAAAATTTACAGTGATTTAAGACTGCCCCTTCTTGTAATTTGAATTCTGATTTATATCATAATTTGTTTTTATTATAAAATTCATATAAATTGAAAATTTCAACTATTTATATTATAGATGTAAAGTCAGTTATATTGTGTTAATGCTGATGCTAAACCATTGTCTTCATTTGTAGCATTCGTCATGATTTGCAAAAATTAAAATACTAGAGTCACCACTGTTTATTATGGAAAGCCCTAGCTGCCTTTTCATAAGCTATATAGAACAAGCAGATAAAAAATTAAGAAGTTGTAGTTTATATGTTAAAAATTATATAGAGACAAACCAATTATTTTCCGGTAGAATTGCAGGAGGGGCTACTTGTGGGTATTCTCAAAGCCTGATTGGTCCAAAGACTGAGGGAAATTTCTTTAATATTCCACCATTCCCTGTTGGCTCCCAGTTTCCTCTCAGTCTCTTTGGTCCAAGCACTGTTTTGTCTCCTTGCAGGAAACAGTTGGATTAGCATTATTTCTGTTTAATTGGGCAAATTGGTCTTCTACTCAAAATTACAAATTTATTTCTGCTGGTCTCAGAGACTGGGCAATCCGTCTTGCAGAGAGGAGAGCCGCTTCGGCATTTTCCCTCCTACCTTCAGGCCCTGGATGAGCGGGGGTGATGGGCTCTCTTCAGACAGCTTCTTGGGAGCAGCAGCGAAGCCGAAGGAGCGAGAGGCAGCAAGGTCATCGGTGTGTCTCCTTTGCAGCTTGTGAAATGAGCCGTGGCTTTAAAATATTGGCGCAGCTTGTATTGCAGCCACAAATCGAGGCCGACGGGCCACCCAGGTAGCAGCAGTTGGAGCTCCCAAGGACCGGAACACCATTAGGCATACTGGGGGCCTGATTCCATCTCAACGCTACAGGTCTGCATTGTGGCCATTAATCGAGGCGAGCAGGCCCTCAGACAACAGCCGCTGGTGCTCCAGAGAGCCTCAACTCCGGTGGGCATTTTCATGCGGCCTTCTTTACCTTTCGTCGACATGTGAGTGGTCCATGGCCGCAGCCAAGGCCAATGCACTCCCCGGAGGCACAGGGCGACCCCAGGGTGGGGGAGAAGGACAGGCCCAGGACTAGGGTGGCGGCCTCCAAGCCCTCTGCCACCCAGTGCCCCTCTTGAGCCACAGTGAGGGATAAACTTAAGCAGCAACAGGCATTAGAAAAGACAATTGCCACGGCTGAGCAGCAGGCCCAAAAGACAAGGCCCAGCTCCCCCAGCATATCCAGGTCGCCCATCCGGCCTAGCTCTCTGCAATCCGTCTCTCCTCCCAGGGGTTTCAGTCCGTCTTCTCCCTCTATTTCCCCTGCTAGACCATCTTGATACTGATTTATTATTATATATAACATTTTTCTCTGCATGTTTTATTTTTTTTTAAAAAATGCCCCTTTTTCTAGTAAACTGATTTAGTTTACTAGAAAAGATTCAGATTTAGTTGTGTGATAGCATAAGAAACAAAAATGTGCTTTATGTTGCCCATCTTGCATCTTATTTCCTTACAGTCTTTTCTTTTAGCTAATACACAGCTTTTTCTCCTACCCCTTTTTTCTTTTCCTCTATGGTAATTGTTCAATAATCTCATTTCCCACATATGGGACAATTATTAAATGACAAGTTAAACATTGCTTATTTTATTGTTCAGTTATGAATGAAATAAATGCTTGTTGGGTCTGAGTATCCCAGAGAAAATTCAGTGGAAATTATTATTGTTGCAATTAATAAATATGAAAAATTTAATTGCAATATTAATATTTTAAATCTGATCCTTCTTAGTTAAGCAGTTGACATGATTTTGAATGAAATGTTTGTTTCTACACCCACTACAATACTACACCCATTAGATTTCAGGGAAAAAAACCTGAACCATAAAAATGTAACACTGCTGTGCAACAGTGAAAAATTAAAATGAAAACAAATGTTCAGGAAAGAAAAAAAACACAGAGAATATTAATATGGAGGTTTCATATAATTAAAATGACTTTTATGTATATATAGTTATTTATAGCATAAGGCCATATTTTGTTTTTCAAATTTATATCTTGTTTTATTATCTAAATCAAACAACTCTGATATATTTCTGATAAGAGATCCTAATTTGAAACCGTGTTATCAAACAAACTTGAATTAATACCTTTTTTATAAATACAATTTAGTGAACCTAGAAAACTGGCTTTTTCTTGGTTTCATTATGTGTTTCCTCCCATCTCATCAAATCTGAAAGATCCAAAATAAGGGAATCTAGAAATATATTCATAATTCCAAAAGAGGAATTCCTTGTGCTATTTGACAGAAAAGGCCCTAATTTAGTAATGACATCTGTCCCCTATTCTCACATAACATAGTAAGAAAACTTCCAAAACAAGAGGGTTTTTTTTTGTTATTGTGCATAAGATAATTGAAATGTAGCCCATATTTAATCTACATTATTCTACATTATTCAAACAATGTTGTGCAATGTAATTTTGGAATTTGGGAGTGTTAATTACATTTTGTAGAAAGAAGAAAATGCAGGGATACAAAACAATCTAACTCTGCTCCTTCTATTTGCAATGCACATTATAGTTTCAGCAATACTACAGGATAGTTATATTATATCTAGCAACATATGATGCACCAGGTTGGTATATGTTGCAAAGGATGAGCCACTTTTGTGATAATGTTGCTATGGCAACTACCTTCTGAGAGCTGCTTCAAGGTCACTCATAGCCCAGTGTGCTTGGATTTTAAGGAAAATACAAATGCATAATATGTAAGGATGTTTGTTTTTATTCCTTTTCATGTTAAATAATGTATTGTGAAGTATGTGAATAAACGTACAATTATTTACATTAGTAAGATTTAATAACATTTTAAATATTATGTATCATAGACACAGTAGATGGGGAAAGTAATAATTCCACAACTACCAGTATTTTCTGAATATTACTTATATTACAAAAGAACAAAAAAGGAGTTCAAATATGTGTTATCTCTGAACAGTTTATTTGTTTTTATTTATTCATCAAGTTTATATGCCATCCATATCACCAAAAGTAACACTGGGATATATAGTTTTATGTTTTATAGTTTTTTTAAAAAAATAAGGACTGTTAAAATGGGTTCTGTTGTAATATTACTTAAAACATAGGCAGCTATATATCAAAATTAAGTTTGCAATACATTGTTTTAATTGTAATCAAATATAAAAAATAGCAATTAAAATATTTCAACCATTGCCGTTAATTGTCAGCCCAACTAGGTAGACTAATCCAGGAAATTCCTCAGGAAACTAGCAATAGCAATAGCACTTAAACTTACATACCACTTCCCAGTCCTTTACAGTCCTCTCTGAGAGGTTTACACTGTCAGCATATTGCCCCCAACAATCTGGGTCCCCATTTTACAGACCTTGAAAGGATAGAAAGCTGAATCAACCTTGAGTCGGTCAGAATTGAACTCCTGGCAGTGAGCAGTGAGTTAGACTGTAATAGTGTATTCTAATCACCGTGCCACCATGGCACTAGAAGTATTGAAATTGGCTATAATAACAGAATTTTGCAACTCTAGTTATGCTGAATACCCTTTCCCCTCAAATTCCAATCAATTATTGAGACAACTGGCTAAGTGTCTTTTGAATAATATCTTATTTCCCTGGTTTAAGACAACGTTTCAGTCTTCTTTGTCTTGGTAACAACAGTTCTTGCATATTTCCATCAATGTCATCTTCTTTAATCTACACAAGGGAGTAAACTGGTACAGATGATTTGATGAAGCTCATTGCTCATAATTGCAGCTTTCCTCTGGATCTCATGAAATGTGAAACATCTGTAATTACTCAAATGTGTAGCAACTTCAAGGTCCTCTCATGGCCTTCTGAACAAAGCACCTGTGGAGTTTCTGATAGCCTATCTCATTCTTAGAACTGCTATTTGTTGCATAATTATATGTCTTGGAGCCTCCATTGATACAGAAGCTGATATAAATGAATGGCAATGATGTTGACAGGATTTGTTTTAGAAGTCAAGGCAAACAATTCAGTATTTCAGCCATGGTTTAGAAGGCTGAGGAACTAAATCTTACAAAGCCTAGAAAAAAAATCAGTTTCTGAGAAATCAAGCCACACGTTGATGAAACATGCTGGTTCAGAAGTTGTTTGGCTTGTGTCTGTTTTCAGACAAAAGCTGTTATTATAGAAGATCTTTGCCTCTACCAGCATGCCTCCTGTGCTGACTGGAGCTGATTGCAAAAACTGTGCTAATTAGGAATAATACTCTGTTTCTGAGCAGATAATTACTCTTTAGTAGACCAATATGCTGAAGGCATTTTTCTGAGTATTTTATTTATTTATTTAGATATAAATGACATCCACATTTAGAAATTTCTATAGCTGCCCATCTCAAAGGTGGCTCTGGATGGTGAATAATCAACAATTAAAAATATAGTTACAAAGTAATAAAAAAAATTAAATACATTTCATGCAGATAATAAATAGTTTGATAACTATTTCAGTTTTAATAGCTAACTAGTGTGTTGTAATTTTCTTTTCTAGGTAAAGATGGTGTGTGAATGTTACTGACAAGAATACATTTCCAAGTAAGTGTTCAGTATAATAAAGTTAGAACATATTTGATTATGGACAGAGCATTCTTTCAGAGTTGCCTGAACCTCACTCAGAGTCAGGTAAACTACGAGATGGGTGGCAAATAAATTTGATAAATAAATAAATCCCAGTTAGTGTTGTAGAAACTAAGTGTAGGTTGGCCAGTATTTCATGGTCCTATCAGCTAATTCCAGCCAGGAAAGTCAAGCCATTACTATTCTACTCTTCTATTCCACCAGAAAGGTAGCATTAACAGAAGAGAAAGGAGTCTAGAAACAAAGGCTCTAAAATGTTCTCTGACTCAAACTTTCCTTCAATCACTTTATTTTAGGACCCACTGCCACAGAAAACATCACCAATAGATCTGTCTATGGAAACATTTGTATGTGTGCTGCAGTGGTGGGTTTCAAATTTTTTTTAGAACCTCTTCTGTAGGTGTGACCTGCTTTGTGGGAGTGGCTTGCCAGTCATGACTGAGTAGGAGTGGCTTGCCAGCCATGTGACTGGGTGGTCGTGGCCAACTTGTAAAATGTGGTGAAACTCACTTAACAACGCTCTTCCTTAGCAACCAAAATGTTGGCTCAGAAACTCTGGCATTTGAAGCACGCAAGTTTTAAAGCTGTCAAGTTACAAGACCTTTGCACCTCTAACCCTTTAGAAAAAAAACCCCAGGGGTGTTCAAACTTGACAGCTTTAAGACTTGTGGACGTCAACTCCCAGAATTCCTCCTCTCACTCTTCATCTTGATGATGTGGACGAGTGGGTGGAGGGAGCTGGAACCAGTTCTAAATGGCACTGTAGATTTGTGGAACTTCTTCTATAGAAGGGGTTAGAACTGGCAGGAACCCACCCCTGGTGTGCTGGAAGTATTATGTTTGTCTAGCCTTTTCTACTCTTTTTCAGTCACTGGATCTGAGATTGGGAAACTATTTATACTAAATAGTCAATGAAAGTATAGGAAATAGTCACTTTTGCACAAAGATTAAAAGTTCTATTTATGTTTCCTTTTTTTCTTACTTCACATGTTTAATCTTTTTACAGTAAGAGAAGTCTTGGTTTCCTGTTACAGTTCCATGGAACTTTAGTTTAATGTTGTATTTTTGTTTCAAGCACTACTTATGATTTGTGACTTGTCAACAGTGCATGGGAGTTACAAGTCCTCCCGCCATATTCTATGCTCTTAAATTTCTGATGTGTACATCTTGCAACGTTAGAATAATTTCCTTGATTTATACCCCAATTTGGCAAGAGTGCCAAAAATGTGCTTGCTGTGATCTGAAAAGAAACCCTTTAATATTGTTTCTTGGATCCATAACAATACTTTAAATATAGAAATAAGCCAAATGGTGTCTAGAAAACACCTTTGAAATGTGCACAAACTTTTTACTATACTATTTCTTTTTATGTTGAATTTAAAGGAAATTCAGACCAGTAATTTTATAGGCTTATAATATAATCCCATGCATACATGCTCAGTGTAAATGTGGTAAGAAATAGCAGTGGTTAAAATTCAGTGGAATATTTTCCTGGCCACTGGGAATATGATTTCAACCTTAGACTCTGTCTTAAAAAATTCATTGTCATTGCTAGTATTTCTCTGATCTGGAGAAAGAACAAACTCCCTCAACAAACAAACAACACAACCATCCCCAACAACTGTGCTAGTGTATACATTCAGAAACATACTGAATATTTTATTCCTTCCATTATCCTAGCTATCAGAAAGTGTTTTATTTAATGTTGCTGAATAGGTGTTAAGAACTGCCATCATGCACACCCTTCCCCCAGTCTTAAAGTACTATACAGAGAAGCCTGGCTTGTTTGCAGCCACAGTGCTGCATATCTTTCAGGAAGTGACCTTGACTTGTATTAATCAAATTCAGAACACACAGAAAAGCTGTTTGGTAACATGCCAATTTGATATAAAACAACATTATGTTTTCATTCAAAATGGGGTACCAAGAACGAAAAAAAACTTGTACTTTTAAAAGAGCTATGAGGATCTTAAACAAGGGTTAAATCTAAAATTAACTCATTTCTTAAAATATAAATAATAAAGAAATAATGTAACATTTATTTGATTATAAATTCAGCATATCATTTATCTAATTAGCTGATTTGTATGTTATGTACAAGGAACTCATGCCACTAAATGATCAGCCACCTAGAAGCTTCCTAGATTGTTTATTCTAAGTCAGAATTCGGAATGCATATCAGTGGCTTTAATAGATCTGACAATAATTTTTATATCATGTTGACAAATTCCCCTAATCTGGACTCTGCAGTAAATCACAAATCTGACGTTTCATGGCTTGGACAACTTTTCTGCTGGACTTGATGGAAGAGTCATAACTATAACTTAGTTAAGTCAGGATCTTTATTGTAGACAATAATGAAGAATGGAAGAATGAATAATACAATAACCCATTGCTAATTGTTATCATAGTTTTGGGGTTTTAACTTGTGGCTTCTTCTTCTTCTCAACTTTAAAGAATAATGGATCTTTGATGTAATACTCACTTGGTGGCCTTGAAGTTGAGCTGGTGTTGTATGTTTGCATAACAACTGTCTTTGGGTGGGGAATTGGTGGTTCCCATCTCAATACTCCAATATGTGCTCATAAATTATTTTGCTTTTGTTGCTTTTTCATTGTTACGAGTATGAAGTGAAATAACATAATTGTGAAGATGATGTAATTTTATGATAATGTGTTTATTTTTAATACTAATGCTAAAATGATATGTGATCACACTTGTTATATTGTTGTGCTATTTTGCTTATCTATGTACAAGTCTGTTTGTTGCCTTACAAAATGTTAGAATTAACCCTTCCAAAAATAATATTGAATAATGTCTTCAAACTATTTTAGTGATCAGTCATTTAAATACCTACATTTTGTAAAACCCTGCATCAGCATAGATTTTTAAGTAAATTGAAGTCTGGGATATTCTGGTGATAAGATATAGTTATAGCTGCCCGGATTCACTGTGAGTGAGTTGGATGGCCATGTAAATTTTCTTAATAAATAATTAAATAATTTGACTTTTATTGCATATTTAATTGGAATTAATTTGCGTGAGACAATGAAATTTACAATTGAAAAAAACAGTTGTGAGGAACTTTGTACCCATAGTTTAGCTACCTTGTTTTCTGCATGTGGTGATGACTTATTTCAATCAAGCCAAAAAGAGAGTCCTTGCTTTATTATCAAATACTTTCTGGATAATTTCAGAATTCTTAACCTCTTGTTTGTATCACATTGCAACTTAAGAAATAATAAAAGAAAGGAATTTTGGAGCAATATCTCCAGATTTTTTGTTTATGAACATATTGTTCAAATATGTTTAAAATAAGGTTTAATAGGCAGAGAATGTATTCAAAGTTTGCAGACTTGTCTCTCTTTTTTCCTCTGTTCAGTCATATTTGATTCTTGGCTACTACCTGAACAAGTCCCTGCAGTTTCCCTCTGAAATCAAATATTCAGATTTGGTTTGCCATTACCTGCCTCCTAGGGCTGAGAGAAAGTGATGGCCCAAGGTCACCCAACTAGCTAGCATTGTGTCTAAGGCAGGACTAGAACTCATGGTTTTCCTGATTCTTTCCTGATGCCCTGACCATTACAGCAAACTGGCTCTCAGATCTCTTTTTAGAAATAGTTAAATTAAAGCATCTTAATTTTAAGTTTTAGGAACTGTTTAAAGATAAAAGAGTGTTTGCTTTTGTCTGCTTTCTTTAATATTTCTGCAAATTTTACTTATAAAAAATTTGCTCCAACAATAAATATTGTTATTTCAGACAAGTGACTTTTGTCACATTGTTGAATCACATGTCTTTTCCTATTCTTACCTTTGTCACATTAATATTTAGGTTTTTTATTTTTATTTGCTGCTCCAAAGATCCACAGCAAATTGTTGATTCATGGAATATATTACCGTATACTTCAATATATTTCTAGATGTTTTTTTTCCATCAACCTTCATTTGTTTGTTGAATTTGCTTATTCTTCATTGGTTTGTTTTTGAATCGCTTTAGATTTTTCTCTATATTTTTGTTTTGTAAAAATAAGTAGTATAATGATACTTTTGAATATGATGACATTTTTTTCTACATAAGGACTGGTTGCAGAAACCTGAGATAATTATTTGAATATATAATTTAGTTGTTTCCAAGTCTGGCAAAAATGTTTTTTCCATTCATCACTGTAAATATTGCCAAGATCCCCTTTTAATAACTTGTTAAATCTTTTTTTACTACTTTTGCCGGGTATCATAAAATCCTATTAATTTTTCTTAGTGTTCTGCTATACTGTTGTTTTTATAGCAAATGACTGAAAAACCGCTCTTGGATATTTTTAAACTTTGGCTATGTATAATAAAATTTCATCCTTAAAGTGAAGAACATTTTATTTTTTGAATGTTGAAACTTTACAAGGCATTGGCATAGAAAATCTATTCTTGCAAATTCCCAAGTGAAAATATATTACTATGGACACACTTTTCTTTTTCTTTTTCTGGAACTTTTAGAGTTGATAATTTATTTTAATCCTTCAACTTTAAAAAGCAAGGGTTTAAAATGTCAAGTGTCAAAGCAAGTTTCTTAGACATAGACTGTTCTTGTATGCAAAGTGGATTGTGGTTACTAGTGATTCCTGGCCTATTTCAACAGACTTTTCAAATAGTCTGTTAAAATGCTTGATGTGACCCATCATAGTTGAGCTATTTGTTCCTTCATATCTGAGCTTATTTTTAAAAAAAATATAAATGAATAGAGACGGGAGTGCTGCAAAACACTAATCTGTATTATTTCTATTTGCAATAATGCAGTTGAATTTCACATAAGCATTAGTCATTCTTAGAAAATAAAAGTGATCATGGCTATAGTCCAGTGCTTTAGGGTTTAGGTATTGCCCTAGATAATAACAGTAATAAAAAAAAATCACAATATCTTTGGTGGCTAGAGTGGGTGTTAGGAAATGAACTCAACAGTTTGATTA